AATGTACCATGTTTCGACAAGGTTTTGTCATCATCAGGTACAAGTAGTTTAGACTGACACAGATATACATATACAGTATTAAACAAAGAGGTTACATGACCAGATACTGTTGCAAGACTTAAAAGAGATATCTTGGCACCCTAGGGTGTTGGTTTAGAGTAGGGTTCAATTAAGATGGATTCCTTGACTTTTCATTTGTTTATGTTTGGTTCTTTGTTTAAAATTACTGTATCTGACATATGGCAATGATAGGTGATGTGAAGGTTTTGCACAAGCACCATTATCCAAAACTGTTCTTTTACATGGTGACTGTAAGTGTACAGGTTTCAGATCCATAGAGTAAGACTGGAAAATTCTCTATATACAATCTCAAAGATTTAAAGAACGTCACTTGAACTATAAAACAACTATTTGTACACAAACATTGCTAAATCAAATCACAATGAATGATATAAAGAAGCTTGTAAACATAAAATTACAGTTTCAATATAGTCATAATCTCAAATTTTTTTTAATTGGTGATTGTTTGAAAAATGATTCATTATTTCAGTAGCCACCTAAAATGTTATAATTTTCTTACGCTGAGAATGTATTTCCAACAGGTACTTACTTCCGCTCACATATATAGCTATTCTCATTCAGTGCTGCCCTCTATTTGCTAATATTTTTTCACCTGCCGCAAGTCTTTCACTTCCACACATCCCCTAATTCATATGGTTTAACTGATTCTCACATGCAAATTATCATGTGACAAACCTCCACAAATAGTAGTGCCACACACCCTCGTGACTTCCTCTATGAAACGTAAGCACCAGTCGACAGTGGAGAGGAAGGGCAGGAAGTGTGAGCAAATGTAAGTACCTGTTGGAAATAAATTTTCATTGTAGGAAAATTATAACTTCTGACAAGGTACCTTACTTCCATTCATATACATAGCTAGAATCCCACATTGAATAGATGGAGGGACAGGTACAAGAGAGAAAGTAGCAGCATCCTTCGAAAACATCCAAAGAACATCCTCGATTAAGAGGATTACATATGGGAGACTGCACCACTTCTGTACCAGGTATACTCTTCGCCCATATGTGCAAAAGATACAATAGATCTTGGTGGAAAATTATGAAGAGCACATCCCAGTAGGAGAGAAAATGGTTGGACAGTGATCTTAACCACAACATATTATAATTATAATATCCCTGATCAACAGAATGTGGGTAAAATAAGTGATGTGTTCCAAGGTGTAGAGTGGCTATTGTGTGATGGACTGTATATGGCAAGTCAATTACATCCAAAACTCGACCACCGGGAACCGACATTCTTGTGGTAGTAGGGTGAGGATCATACCATTGGAATGTCAGCTACCATCCCAAACTCAACTGCTAAGAACCGACATCCATGCAGGGGTAGGAAAGAGGATCATACTATCTTCACCTCAAGTTCAGCCGACCGGAGGGAGAAATCCAACCACTGATCTGAAAACAGGGCATATGTGAGCAGAATGAAATACAGACCAGAACCTCCTCAAATGCAGTAACATCCTCAGCATAAAAATATTGAGGGTTAGCACAAGATGGAGAAGCAGAGCAATCAACAAGTGCACCCACTGTGACCCACAATACTGGGTACTGCACTTGAGGCATAGTGAGTGACGGACCAGGGGCACCCTTATCCGATGTGTGAGGGCTTATGTTGATTGGTTCAGTTCTAAATCCAAAACTCAACCACTGAGAACCTACATCCAAGCAGGGGTAGGATGAGGGATCCCAATTGAAGGGGTGAACTGCATTTATGCTGGCACACTCCATGTGTGAAGGCATATGGTGGTTGGTTAAGCTCTAAATCCAAAACTCAACTGCTGGGAACTGACATCCATGCAGGAGTAGGATGAGGGATCCCAATCACACTACATGTGCAAGGACATGATATTGATTGGTTCACCTCTAAATCCAAAACTCAACCACCTGGAACCGACTTTCGTGTGGGGGTAGGATGAGGGATCCAAATCATTATGATGGCTCACTCCAAAGATACATTTCTTTGGACAAAGGCATTCAGAGATAGAGCATCCACTTGGAGGACATCTCATCATCTACATCAGCAGAACACCACAGCCAGATGTCCAAGTAGTGGTGTTAGTAAAAACCCAAAATGTGGAAGTCAGGTAAATCGCAGACCACCTGATAAAAGGACATACAGAACTAAAATTTGTCCAAATGGCAAGGCATGAAACCTGTACCAAATTACGTGGTAAAAAAAAACCTAAGATAATGTTCCAAGAAACAAAAAATAAGAATGTGTACAATACACATTTTCAGTCCTGCAGAAATTGCCCACCCAATTGTGATGAAACATATATATATATTAAAACAGGGAAGAACCAAGAAGTGATGGAGGTAGGACCATTCGAATCAGAACTTCAATCAGCATCAAGCATACCCCAAAAATGGAGAAACCTATAGGTGTGACAGGTAAAGGATGGGAAGGTGCTGGACATGGAATACGGATAAAGGTGGCAATGTCACAGAATGAGATAAAAAACAACCAAAATAAATAGAATATAGCATCACAGAAACCCCATGTGATGATAAATTCACAGGAGTAATCCCAAAAAAGGACCAGTGGAGAAAAAGAGTCAACAGTAAGTCCATATTAGAAGTGGATGGTAAACAAACAGTACAAGATAGTGTTCCACCCCAGAAGAACCAAAAAGCAATAAGCCACATGTGGAGGGAAAGAACTGAAGATGGCAACCGCCCCAACATGGAAGGAAGGAGGATGAAGTGTTCCAAAAAATTTCCCTAGATATAGGTGAAATGCTTAAGAAAGGAGGTGGAAGGTAGACATTTCCTGTAGGAGGTTTGATAAAGTAAGACGAAGCTGGAAAAGATGGATAGGATGAACAGACTGCCCCCCATACAGGCAACTCATTCTAAGTACATAGAATCAAGAAGAAAATCTGCCTGATGGTTAGCTAACACAAAATGAACTAAAACCTGTGTAGGGTGAGACATGCAAATACCTTCTCCCAAAAGAGAGATAAAAATGCCCATAATAAAACATAATGTCTGGAGAAGGAGGAGAAAATGATACTGTGAAACGTGTCTAAAAAATGCTGAGGTAGGACTAGCAGATTATGCAGTAAAAGCCTGGAAGAAAATTGACAAAATCTAGGTGATCCTCAAAGTGTTTGGTAGTTGTAGAAGGAAGGCAAGCAATATCGGGAGAAGTTAGGATGGTCCCCGGTCCCCAGAGGTCCACATAAACTAAAATAATTGTAAAAAGCATAAATTATAAATAATTAGAAAATGAAATAGTTGATATAAGATACATTTAAGTAAGTGTGTAGTGAAAGAAACAAATGTATTAGATGCTATGTGTTGAAGAAAACAAGATTCTTAAACTGATTACCAATTTACCCATAAGATGAACTACAGGTCAACTGAAAATAACAGACACTTGTTAAGCCTAATCAAACTGTGCAGGACAAAGTATATCACTAAGCTCTAATGTAAAAAAAACCTAACCTAACAATAAGTATGTACAATATTGGGAGAAGAAGTCTGTGTGGACCCCAGGAGCCAGAGCCACAGAGACAAAGGTAAGATGAAGAAGTATAGAAGATAAATAATAACAAAAATGAAATACACTATATATTATAAAATTAAGTAAGTATGTATTGACAAGAACATGCGTATGAGGAATTAAAAAAAAAACAATAGAGTTAACCTAAATTACAATATATTAGTAAAATGAATTGAGGTAATCCAAAAATAACAAAGACCCATGTTAAGCCTAACCTAACATTATAGGACAATGGATACAGATAAGCTCTAATTTTAAACTTGAACTTGACATTAGTATTGACCAATCTAAATAAACTTGTGTTATGGAACCCAAATAACTACAGATAATAATATTAACAGTAAAAATATTCAAAAATCATAACAGTATAATGTCTTATCTTTCCAAAGTTGGCGAATCGTTTCTCAAAATGTGTGGGCCCCCAAACTCAAGTCTAGACCCAACAAAGTAAAGCCAATAATTCCCTGTCTAGAACTGTCACCTGAAGCCTGTGTAAATGTGCTGATAGAAGATATAACCTCCAAAGTGGTAATTTATAATTCAGAATCCATAATTCAAAATGAATAACCAAACACAACTGTTGTAGCAGAAATAAATAAAAAGTAGAAATATTTTGTAATGAAGTATTAATTTCTGTAACAAGCTAGAAATAGAAAATAATTCCACTTTGGAATAAGTTATAAATATCACTGTTGCATAATAAATAATAAACTTGTGGAGAGATATTGATATAAAGATACAAAACACAAAAACACTTGATAAGAGCACAAACTAAATGTCTGAATGTGAGCAATGCCAAACTAGAAGTGACAGTTAAAGTTTTTAAGCTAACACAAAAACAAGATATCATATATATAAACAAGAAAATTTAAAATATGTTGTTTTTTTTAAACAGCTCATAAAACTTAAGCATAACAATTTATTTGAGCAGAACATGAACAGAATTCAGGCAAAAAAATATTTTTCAATGAATATTCAAACCAAAATTTGGTATTTGAATATCTGTTTCTGTTTTTTAATATGTTATATTTTCTAGGACCTTTCTTTGTGTTGTAAATAGCCCCTACATAAATTAAATTTTAGAATGCAAAGCATAAATAAATTTTACCAACTGTGTTCACTGACTACAAACAATGAATTCATATATTTATGTTTGTTTATCCATTAATGTTATATTAAATGGCATCTTAATAAAAACCAAACTTAAGTTTATTATTCAGAATATTATGGTCACAATGCTTTGCACAGTGATTGACATTTTTTTGGAAAATTATTTTGTCACAATTCATTGCACTATCCAAATATAGTAATCATGTGAAGCATAATGAATTATGGAAGAAAACTTCTTAGGTAAAACTAGCTTGAATCACATGACGGATACAAATATTTCTGTGATGTAACAGATACTGGGACTTTTTTCATCGTGCCTCAAATCTATGAATGAAGAAACTAACAATGCTAAATATAAATAGACACAAATGTGGGGCTGACCAATAGCAAATGCTTCTAATAGTACTAGAAACTATCCAAAATCGAAATTTAAAAAAAATGCGACATAGTTGAGTTGACTGTAGTATGATCTTATATATATATATATATATATATACACACACACAC